CCTCCTGTTCTGAAATGTGATTTGTCCTTTTCATATGTGTTCACTTTTTTTTTAATTGTATCCTTTGGTATATATGGTTGTGACTACTTTCTTCCACTATTTGATCTGAGGAAGTGGGTCTGGCCCACGAAAGCTCATCATCTAATAAACCATCTTGTTAGTCTTTAAAGTGCTATATTGTCCTGCATTTTGCTTCAACTACCCCAGACTAACACGGCTACATTTCTATCAGGGTTAGACAGGACCGCCAGGGTTATCTAGTCTAACTCCCTACCAACAAGCAGAATTGTGTGCGTGTCTAAGCTATCCAAGACAGATGGCTATTCAGCCTCCTTTTGAAAACCTCCAGTGAAGACGTCCAGCTTCAGGCGATTAGCCTCATTTCAGCTATTATCTTGTGCTGCAGTCTCTGATAGGAAAGAACCCAATTTTCTGCCCTAGTTTTTGCTGTGAAAACAAACAGTGTTATGCATTATTTACAATACCAGTTATGGGCTGCACCGTCTCCGAGGAAACGTGCAAAACCAGGCTGGCTCAGGAATTCCGCTTCTGTGGGGAATGCCTGGGACTTGCTGCTGGAAAGGCAGTGCAAGCGCAGGACTGCTGACCCCAAGTGTTCAACCATGGAGAGTCCAGGCATTCCCCTCATTTTTTGAGGACCTACAGATCTGGAGATTTTTAACACACTACACGGTGGGTTCTTCTGATTTATTGTCTGCTACGGGAGCCTTTGGGGTTCATAGTTTCAAGCTTTTCTCTGCCATCCTGCAAAGTCACTTGTTTTTAAAAAAAGAGAGCTGAGCTGTGGTTCTCAGGTAACCATGTGGCTTCAGAAGCCAGGACGTCAGAGAAAAAATGCCGATTATCAAGAGGCTTTGTGAACTGGCAACAGAGTACATGACACTAGTCATTGTTAAATTATTCCCATTTCCTTATGGGCCACAGTTTCCTTTCCCCCAATATACTGTCCAGCAGGGAAGGCAGCATACCTTTCCTATTGGATCTCACAAAGGACAGCACGACAGCCTCCTTTTCCCGTCCCTGGAAGCCATCTACAGATTTAATTTCCAGCTCTGGATACTTATGACAAAGATGCTCTCTTAGCATGTCCACCTGGAAAAACAAGTACAAGGATAAGGACAAGGTAAATGCAAGATAAGAAGGATGAAAGAAATATCCCCCTGCCTGCCCCTCCCGGGAAGGTGCCCACCTTCCTTCAGATCCATGCATGCCTGAACTCGCACATCCTAAGGAGGAAGGAGTGTTACTCAAGGGATTGGTCATGGGACCAGTGAAAAACATTCTTAGTTCTAGTCCCATCTCCGGATCCCTTTTGTGGACTTGAAACAGTCACTTAACCCTGCTGGGCAGATCCTTAGGTGGTAAAAATTGGTTCAGATCTCCTAAAATGAGACCCATTTACACCAGCAGGGGTCTGGCCCTCTGTTACAGCATCCTCTTCTGCAGTAGGGAGCATTTGGGAGGATTAGCTATCGCACTTTGAATCTTCAACATACTAAGTACTGTCAGTAAAATACCAAGGAATTTGGATTTGTTCTGGTGCATTAATTCTATACTCAGCTTAAAAAGCTGTAATGGGTACTCACCTGGAGGTTGTAAGGAGCAATGACAGCAATGTCTCTTGCTTTAACGCCAGCTTCCACCAAAGCCTGGATGTGCAAGCCTACAAGACGCACTTCCCCTAGGGCAAAACCAAACCCAGCAGTGAATCAAGAGCAAGGAACACAGTCTCGCATGATCTTCTTATCAATTAACTAGGGAAATGCAACCTAGATGCACCCTAGAGGGCAGGATGGTGGGTGCATAACTGGCTAGATAACTGTTCTCAGAGAGTAAATATTAACAGTTCACAATCCTGCTGGAAGGGCATAACAAGTGGGGTTCCATAGGGGTCTGTTTTGGGACCGGTTCTGTTCAATATCGTCACCAACAATTTAGATTCTGGCATAGAGAATACGCTTATTAAGTGTGCAGATGATACCAGACTGGGAGGGGTTGCAAGTGCTTCGGAGGATAGGGCCATAATTCAAAATGATCTGCACAAGCTAGAGAAATGGTCTGAGGTAAACAGGATGAAGTTAATGAGGACAAATGCACAGTTCTTTACGTAGGAAGGAATAATCTGTTTCACACATACAAAATGTGAAGCGACTGTCTAGGAAGAAGTACTGCAGAAAGGAATCTAGGGGTAATAGTGGACAGCAAGTTAAATACGAGTTAACAGTGTAACACTGTTGCAAAAAAAAGCAAACATATTCTGGGGTACATTAACACGAGTGTGGTGAGCAAGACACGAGAAATCATTCTTCCGCTCTACTCTGCGCTGATTAGCCCTCAATTGGAGTATTATGTCCAGTTCTGGTCATCACATTTCAGGAAAGATGTGGAGAAATTGGAGAAGGTCCAGGGAAGAGCAACAAAAATGATTAAAGGTCTAGAGAACACGACCTATGAGGGAAGACTGAAAGAACTGGGTTTGTTTAGTTTAGAAAAGAGAAGACTGAGAGGGGACATGATAGTGGTTTTAAAGTATCTAAAAGGGTGTTACAAGGAGGAGGGAGAAAAATTGTTCTCCTTGGCCTCTGAGGACTGGACAAGAAGCAATGGGCTTAAATTGCAGCAAGGGAGGTTTAGGTTGGACATTAGGAAAAACTTCCTAATTGTCAGGGTGGTTAAATACTAGAATAAATTGCAGAATAAGCTGCAGAATAAATAGGGAGGTTGTGGAATCTCCATCACTGGAGATACTTATGAGCAGGTTAGACAGACACCTGTCAGGGACGATTTGGATGGTGCTTGGTCCTGTCGTGGGTTCAGGAGATTGGACTCGATGTCCTCTCGACACCCCTCCCCATTCTATGATTCTATAATTTAACTCCAGAAAATGCTGACAGGTAAAGCCAAAAGGTAATGGCTACTCAACTGCTCAATTCTGTGGCAGGGATTAAGAAAAGCTACTCTTTGCAGACTAATTCTACTGAGTCCTTAAAGGTATCCTCTGGAGTTTGGAGATTCCCCGTAAGGTCAGATTTATATATATCATGGCACCAACGTGGACAGAAAGATCATAGAATCATAGGACTGGAAGGGACCTCGAGAGGTCATCGAGTCCAGCCCCCCGCCCTCAAGGCAGGACCAAGCTCCGTCTACACCATCCCTGACAGATGTCTATCTAACCTGTTCTTAAATATCTCCAGAGAGGGAGATTCCACCACCTCCCTTGGAAATTTATTCCAATATTTGACCACCCTGACAGTTAGGAATTTTTTCCTAATGTCCAATCTAAACCTCCCTTGCTGCACTTTAAGCCCATTACTCCTTGTCCTGTCCTCAGAAACCAAGAGGAACAAATTTTCTCCTTCCTCCTTGTGACACCCTGCAGTGTTCAGTGGACAGGTCAGAGACAGAACAGGGATGCATTAAGTCAAGCTAAGCTCCCTTGCTCCATAAATGTCTCCTGTGTTCAAATGTTACAGCCCTGTTACAAGTAAGGGATAGAATACTGAGATTCAGGGTTTGTTGTAGGAACTCCTGCGCCAGTGCTTAAAAAAGCATTGACAGACAGAGGTCCATTGACAGGTTTAATAGGTTCCCTCCAACAATCGGATGGGTTTTATTGCTGTACACTGCTGGAAAGCCAGGACTCACAGTTTTCTGTCTGTTTATTGCTAGCTCTCCCAGGTCATAGATACCTCACATTTAAAACATGCGACTACAGCATTCTGATTATCATCCCATCCTCCCATTTCAATTCAGACATGAGCTCACTTGTCAGGACTATATATTGTCTAGAAAGAGGCAGGGCCCTGTTGCGTGTCACACAGCAATGGAATCTGCTGCAGAATCTACCCCTCTTCTGCTTTTAATAAGAAAGTTTCTAGCGCTAATAGTTGTGAAGACAACCATGAAATGTCACCCAAGTGTAACAGATGAAATGCTATTTTCTTGAGTCTGCCAAGAGCCTGACACAGTAGCTCTGAGAAGAGAAAATTCCCTCGTTCAGCTCAATGGGCTGTTAACTCTGAATCCTAAAGATGGTGTTACAGATGTGAACATTGTTAACTATTTTACCATTGATCATTTTGACAACAGTCAGCTAATGTGCTGACCCCATAATACTTCTCCTTTCCTCACCAGTGCCAAAATCTATAAATCTAACAAACTGAGAGTCTTGCTCAACTGCCAAAACTTCCAACTCCCCTCACACACCAAACCCTTGGCACCAACTACAATTCAATTACGTGTTCTCAAAACCAACACTGTATCCTCTTGAAAACTATACATACGGAGAAAATAAATTGAATTTAACATGAAAAGAAATACCCTTAGGGTTGCTGGACTGATTACCTTCAGTCGCACGTAATACTTTTGAAAAATCCATTTTTTTCTTTCAAGATAGCTGCCATTGAATTTCCCATCTGCCACACCAGAACATGGCAGGTCCAGGGATCCCATTCCAGAATTTAGGTTTGGTTTGCCACAGAGTACTCAGGGCTCGGTCTTGGAGCTTGGGATCTTGCCTTTCAATGGTCAAAGTACCAGTCTAGCTCTAAAAGTTCATGGGATATGGCATTAGTACCTGATCTTTCAAACCGTTGTTACGCCCATGCTTAACGTTGTGCAAGGGAGTGGTCAAGCACATAAGTTTGCAGAGTCAGGGCCTTAGTTGCTAAAACTAGATGCTTGGAGATGAAGGGTGGTCCAGTGGTTACAACAAGAAGCCTGGGACTTAAGATGACTAGGTTCCATTCCCTCTTCTGCCCCAGACATTCTGCAAAATCTTGGGCTAGACACTTAGTCTCTTGAGGCCTTGATGGGGAGAAGGTACTGTCCTACCTCATGGAGTGTTGTGAGGAGAAATAAAGATTGTGAGGCATGCAGATCCCTTGGTAAGGGGGGGCCATAGAAGTACCTCATATAAATTAGGAATGTTAGCAAGTATCTGGTTAACCGGTGGCCCATCTGGGCTGGAGCAGCCCCTGCCAGATATGGATGGTGGGCTGCACCACTGTTTAACATTCCATTTAACTGGTTAACACTTGGTTATTATCTAGATCTGTTGCACCAGGGACTATACAGCATCACCCAGACAACTAGAAAAGACAACAGTCCCAGAGAACTGAAAAGCTAGGCCAGGATGTCTTATTGTACTAAGAGCCAGAATAAAGGAGTTGGGAGAGAGGGTCTCAGATGACTACAGTGTTCTGGTATCCCCATAATACACTATGTAAATGGCTGGTCGGAGGAAGTCAGACTTGCTCGCTCTCCTATTCTCCTTGTTAACAGTTATGTACAGGGTATGTTAATTGAAACAAGCCAATCTTCCTAGAGCACAGGCTACCCCATCAGCTACAGAAAATGTGGGAAATTTACTGCTTTATGTGATGCCAAAGGATAACATTTCATCTTTACTTCCTAACTCCTTTGTCAATCTAAAACGCTGTCCCTGGTGCTCTATTCTTTTTCCCTGTTGGAGTCTCATTATTTTAAGATGCTTCAGGAGTAGCCAAGTTAGTCTGAACAGGATAAACTTAAAAAACAACAAATGGTCTGGTAGCATTTTATAGACTAACAAAACACGTAGATGATATCATGAGCTTCGTGGGCACAGCCCACTTCTTCAGATGACTGGCGTTTTGAGTTTAGGATGTGCAGACCCAAAATAAATAAGGGAGAAGGGAGGGAAGGGGGAGGAAAAAAGGAGGAGGGGCAGGAAACAAGGAGCAGAGGGTATGGAAATATAAAAGGGAAAAACAGGAAAGCAGAACTGGGAATCAGTGAGCACCTGAAGATTGGGTAGTTAAAATGAAGAAGATACGAATCAAAGTCAATAGAGAGTACCCTTCCTAACACAGTACCCTTCCTAAACTCAAAACTCTGGTTATTTTACGATGGTGAAGCAGCTACTGTCCCATTGAACTGTAGAGGCTGATGTCCCTTATGTGTTATGATAAAGAGCCAATAAAGTGATACTCCAAGGCAGTAAAGCCACAACTCACAGACTACTGTGTGACTCCAACTGAATGGGAGTTCTGACTGGAGGGCGACATGCCGTGCTGAAAACTCACATCTCTGCCCACCCTTCCCTGGCTGGCATTACAATTGGTGTGGCTTTTAAACCCAGCCTTTTCCAGCGCCATAAAGTCCCTTGTGTCACTACCCAGAAACCCTAATGCAGGCAGTACATTCCAAGGGGCCTGTTTCCTATATCTTCCACTCAGTAACCCACTAACTTTCCTCTGATACAGAGTTATCCAGTGTTACATCAGCTCTCCTCTGGGCTATGCTATGACTTAGCCTGTGAGTAGCCAGCATGGCTGGGAATCCGGGACAATCTACTCCAGTCAGCAAATCTTACGTCCTGTGAAGCAGCAGTACCTTGATTCCCTTTAGACTGTTCTTCTTCCACTTCAAGCTCAAATAAGCCACAGCCAGCTGTATCTATAAGCAGCAAAGGAATCCTAGTCTCTTCTGTAGAAGCAACTCCCGGAAGGTCCCTAACAGGTTATGTGGAAAAGAATGAGTTATCAACATTGACGGAACATTGCAGCATGAGACAGCCAATTCTGCCACCCCCCACGCTTCCCTGACACAGTTCATAAAGAGACTCTAGCCTTAAGACAGAGACACAGTTATATAGTACTGCCTATGGGCAAAGTTACAATGCAACTCAGCAATCCAGTCTGGAAGGGGAAAATTCAAACAGTTCTGAATATTACATGGTGCACAAGAACGGTCACCGAACTGGCGCTTTGTCTACACTGAGTTTTTGCAGCAGAAAATATGCTAAGGAGAGACTCATTTGCATAAGTCGCAATATCATTAGCGTATTTTCTGCTGTTTCTTTTTGCGCAAAAAGAAGCAGTGTAGCCACTCCCATTTTGTGCAAAACCCCAGTTTCGTGCAAGATCCTTATGCATCTCCCTGCTCCCAAAGACTTGCTGTGTAGTCTATTGCCAGTCCAAACCACCTCTCCACTTCTTTCCCCCCGGCCATCTTACAAAATGCCTCCCTGGACCCCTTCTCTTCTGCTCAGGGTTCTGGGCCTGCTGCACTGGCAATGACATGGCTCTAATGGTCACGTGCGGCATCACTTTAAGAGGGAGGTGAATACTGAAGCTCTGGGGTGACCTGATGTAACCCATCGTGTGTGTTATGTGTCCCAGTCCGTACCCGTTTCACAGAGGACATGGGTCTGTCCTAGCTCTCAGCTTAATGAGCCTGGCTCTTCAGCTAATGTGACAGCTCATGCTGTTAGTTGCCCATTCAGAACTGACTAAGACGATGGTCACTGCACCTGCACTGCAAGACAGACTTGTGATCGTGCCATGCATCAATTTCTAAGATGGTGGCAGTTCATTTATTCTGAACACTGGCCAGAGGTAGTATGTTCTAACATTCCCTTTAATTCCTTTCCCCAGAAACCCCGTGGGAAGGGTGAAGGGCACCACTTCTTCCCAAAGCATGGGCTATGCAGCCAGCCTTGACAACTTTGTGATGATGTAAAAACCACACACCATTTGTTTATGAACTGCAATCCTTTCTAAATACTTGCTCAAGTACAGAGTGAGGGAGGGTATGTCTACACTACAAAGTTAGTTTGAACTAACGGATGTTAGTTCGAACTAACTTTCATAGGCACTACACTAGCGCTCCGTTAGTTCGAATTTAATTCGAACTAACGGAGCGCTTAGTTCGAACTAGGTAATCCTCATTCCACAAGGATTAAGCCTAGTTCGAATTTACTAGTTCGAATTAAGGGGTGTGTAGCCCCTTAATTCGAACTAGTGGGCGGCTAGCCCTCCCCAGGTTTCCCTGGTGGCCATTCTGGCCAACACCAGGGAAACTCGTCTGCCCCCCTCCCAGCCCCGGACCCCTTAAAGGGGCACGGGCTGGCTACGGTGCCCGTGCCAGGTGCAAG